TGAAGAAAGAATTGAAATGAAAGTTCCAAGCGTTCAGAAAATCTTGCTAAATCAAGGATATTTGACCACTCTGGCTGCCATGTGGTTTATAGTTATGCTAATGTATTATCTATAGAATGAATGCAAGAAACTCGAGAAGAAGGAGCGCAAGCACGATAAAAATGAATGACATAGTTCTGACGCGCTTGCGCGTCAGAATGTCCGATGCGGTGCGAAATTCTGACGCGCATGCGCGTCAGCCTGTCGTCAACGTGTTAAATCAAACGTAACAGTAATTGATGAACATGAAAAGCCTCTTTTAATGTTCCTAGACGTAAATACTTGCTTTGAAGTGGTTACGAGGGTCTTATTGTGCCATGGGTGCCCTTTTTTATGGGTTGATACTGTTCAGATTCACCGATTGTCTTTGAATAGGACCAGCTAAAGCGATGAGAGGTAGCGCTCGCATTAGCGCGGTTCATCCTGGTTCGTCAAACTTGCTTCTCCAATTACATGGAAGCTGTCTGTTGTACCCAGGGAGAAATGGTAGCAATGATGCGCAATTTCATATCGCCTGTGAATATGCGATTTAACTCTTTGACGACCATGTGGCCCGCTTGTGGGCCTTTCTCACACGGAGCAGACTCGTTTTATCGTGGTTTATTTGGCCCATTTGTATCGGGTCCAGAAACAAGTTGCTCATCGCTAATAAGGAAGTTTTTGAGAGTGGTTATTGACTTGAAAAAAGTCGAAAAAAATGAAGTGACGCACGCCGTCAGGGGGTTGATGGGCGTACAATGGGTGAGGTATCCTAGAGACAACAATTTCAATTTTTATCACTTTATCACTTGTTTGTGCTTGAGTTAGATCAACCTATTGCAGGCGTTGATAGCCGACCAGCGACGACACGAGTCCGAAATCCTCCGGGAGGTCGAACGACAGGGTTCTGGTAGAGACGAACGTGAGAAAAAGGGAAAGAGATCTAACGCAAATGCATTAATTTTATTTGATTTTTTCATGTTTGTATTGTATTAATTGTAGGTTACACATTGTGGCCCACCCCTCACTTTTCCCTTAGATCATTAATTTCTTTCTGTTTATTGTAGTAGTGTAGCAGATCCAAACATTTGACTGCAGCGATTAACGCTAGCATCACCGTTTTGTCCAGTAGTGTAACAGGCCATATGCCGCCGCGCCCTTCCAACCATTGCCCTCATCTCACTCAATCACTCGAATCACCGAAACCAGCCTAGTCTATCTGAAAGAGTTTGTTTTCAGTTAATCTCTGATCCCGGAGGAGCACTTAGTGCGTTTGTGTGTTTGCTTGATTGTATGTTAAGTACCATTTTTCTCTTTATTTATTCGGTCACTAACGCTTTCGAGGCTTTAATGTGGCGGTCAGTGAACTAACAGCAGCTTTGTTACGGCGTTATTTTCGGTCGCAGCATAATAGTCGTATCAAGTTTCGAAACGAAATTTCATTTAGTTTTGAATCAAATGTGGAAATTCATGCGAATTTGGACGTACTCTGAAGAGTAGTTGATGAGCTTAATGTTCATTTTGTAGTGTTTTCACATCGTTCCATCTTTCTCATATTTATATAGTCAGTTCCGCTTTGAATCTCATCCACTTCTATTTATTTGAATTAATTTAACTATCAGTATAAATATCTTTCTTCCCATTGTATTTGGCAGTATTTGTGTTAGGGTTTTGTTGAATGTATTGATTTATTGCAAGGGAACACAAATTAGAGTTAAGCAGCTGGTGTCTTGGTGTAAATGGTCCTTTAGGAGGTGAAATTGGTAGGAAAACAAAAGCGTTGTATCACAAGTGCAAGAGGGTCTCAGGGTAAAGAACATGGGCAAAGTTCGATTTCGCAATTTTTGGGTCTGAAAAGCTCTCTCCTGAACCCATTTCCATCCAACTAAATTGGTTTGGGCTTTCCCAGACGGCTCAAGACGCCATACTGAAGGCTTGAAACCGCTCAGGGTGGCCTCTATGCGATGAGTTGTGGAAGAAGTAGACCGCGCAAGAAATTCGAGTCAAGCAATCCATTCCTTCCCCCACCAATGAGTCCTCGATTCAGTACTCGCCATCATTTGAACGACTTCAACGCCGAAATTGAGCAATGAAGCACGGCCTCCACTTGTTTGAGGGTGCCATCGAGCGCTATCGCAAGATTAGGGGGCATCCTCTCGAACTAGACCTAGTAAGGGTCAGGAACTTGCGTAAAAATGGAAATGGCTCACGCACTGTGGAGTCTCTCCTGCGCATCCTAAGGCTTGATCCAATTTTAACAAAAAATATCCGCTTTACGTGGTGGCGTTGCCACCACATGCCCCCTATCCTGCAATAGTGCTCGCAATCGTGATTTATAAAGATGGGTTCAGTTCAATTCAGGAGGTACAGTGTAAAAGGAGAAATTTACGGAAGAGGAGTCGTAAGGGTGGTACTTTTTGTTCTCGTACTCGAATTTCCCGAGCCCGAAAGTTAAACATTGTGCTCCGGCCATGGCTTGGCCAACAGCCGTGTCGGGTGTCGGTGAAATTGTGGCCAGCAGAGGGAAATATGTCATCGTGACCAGGCGGGAAAATTTATTTCGAAGGAAAGGGATCCTTCGCGGAAAATTCGTCCGCATTCTTTCCTAACATGAAGTATCTTGTCGATTACTATATCAATACATCAAAGTTTTACCATGAATGTCGCATTTCCGCAGAAACCAACAAAACTTAAAAAACCATTCATCTGCGTACATTAGCTGAAAGGCGCAAAGCACCAGCGGGGACATCATGAAAAGTCCAGGCAGAGTCAACCCTGCGTTGCGCAGTTCTCAACGGCCACGTTGCGCAGTTTCGCCCGATTAGACACGTTCTCTCGCGCGAACATTCACACTCGCATGCTCGAGCCGTCTGCGTCTCCGCCCATACAGCGTGCGTTGAGGATCTCTCAACGTGCCGTTGCGCAACGCAGGGTTGACTCTGGCTCTGCGGCTACGTCCAGGCAAGCCAAAAAGAATCGGGTTAAAGCGCGCGATTTCGGAGAGTAGAGACAAATCGATCGATAGAATAGGATGGAGTAGAAGTGTAAGATGTGAATGCAATAAAGCAAAAGCCAGAAAGAGTTTCTAGTGAGGCACTCCAAGAACCAAGTGAGCATCCCGTCGCAGCATTTGTGACATATGTGCGGCGGTGTTTTGAACGCGTAGCAGCCTCTTTCGGTTTTTTGAATTTTCTTCCCAAAACAAATATAATTTTTCTGTTCTTTTCATCCTTATCGTGATGAGTCTCAAGCCAGTGAATTATAGCTAAATTGAATCATGAAGGATTCCTTTAAAGTTAATGATATAGCAAAAAGCC